TTTCGGAGATCACCACATCTCCTCATCAGACTTCTTTTTTCTAGACTAATAAACAATCGTGGTACAAAGCTCAATAAAAAATATTAAAAATAAAATGTTAACAAGCCACAATAACATTGACAAATACGAAAAATCTCATATCTGAACAATCAGTTGTATGGGAGCTATAGGTTATAGTTACCCGATCTTTTTAATTTTCACTGTAAGTTTTCTGTTGATAATTATTGAAAAGAGTGCGGAATTTCATGTTCCTAGCTATATAAATGGAGGAGTTATAACGCAACATTTTATATCTGAACAATCAGTTGTATGGGAGCTATAGGTTATAGTGACCCGATCTTTGTAATTTTCACTGTAAGTATTCTGTTGATAATGGGTGCAAGTATTGCAAAATTTCATGTTCGTAGCTGCATAAATGGAGAAGTTATAATGAAAAATCTCATATCTGAACAATCAGTTGTATGGGAGCTATATGTTATAGTGGTCCGATTCTTCCGGTTCCGACAAATGATTAATACATTATAAAAATACACCCACCTACCAAATTTCATCCGGATATCTCGAAAACTGAGAGACTAGATTGCATACAAACAGACAGACAGACGGACAGACGGACAGACGGACAGACGGACATGGCTAAATCAACTCAGCTCGACGTTCTGATCATATAAGTATACATTTTCATGGGTCTATCTCTTTTTGTTCTGGTACTTACAAACATCGGACCAAAGTTATAATACCATTTCATGCTCATGAACGGTATAAAAATGGCCGATCCAATATGGCGCCAAAATTTAAAAGAAATATGTTTAATTTGAAAAAAAAATATTTATTAAATTTGAAATTTTAAAGATATGACAAATTCAAAAAATTATTTAACAAACTCAGTGCAATGTAGAATAGCAATATGGGTATCAAATGAGAGAGAAAATTCTGTAGAATTTAAAACCAATAAAGATTATTGGTAAACCAGGACAAATAAGTATGTATTGAATAAATTTTGTCTTTTTAAGTTAATAAAGTTTACAGGACGAAATTCTATGAAGAGGTCGTGCGTGTATAAGTCCTCAAACAACAATTAAAAAAAATATAGCAAATTTTCAAGGATATTTAAGGACAAAATTGTTTAAGGACATTTTCCATACCCACTCGTCCTTATGCACAAAAAATCTATTTTGTTATAATTCTACAGAATTTTTTCTTTTATTTGATAGCCTTATTGTTATCCTACATTGCACTGAATTTTTTAAATAAATTTTTGATCATATTTTTTAAATTTCAAAGTAAGAACAAAAAAAAATATTAACGTCAGAGAGAAAAAGTAAGTACTGCGTTTGCTATAATTTACCCATAGTTTCGCCAATATATTAATTTTTTTGTGTGTAAAATTTACTGGTGCACGTTTACTGTCGATTGAATTATATTGTAATCCTGTTTGCGTGCATTTTACATGAAATTGACTGAAAAAAATTAATTTAAAAAAAACATCTTCCGAAAAACTTTTTTCAATATTATATGCTACAAAATGGCATCTTAAACAAAATGTCGGACATGGTCGGATTCAGTACTTGGTATTATAGTTTAAAATATAACTATCTTGAAATGGACATAGATTTGTTATTCGTAAAACATGGAAAAAAATGACTTTTGACTTTTTCTTTAAAGTGCTTTTATTTACTGCAATATTTCATTAAAAACTTATTATTTGAACATTTTTTTTACAAAACTTTAAAATCATACCTTATATAGAACTCACCTGTAGAACAAAAACGCATTTTACAAAATTAAAATCGATCGCCCCTATGGATTTTGGCGTTCTTTTAAACTTTAGCATTACATTTCAACTTTTCGGAGCGATGCGTCAACTAACACTTTCACACTGATCGCAAAAATAAGTGCGAAAGGGCGGGATCTGCCTTGGACATATTTCGATAGTTGAAACATCATTTTAGTCAACCCAAGAGAATAAAACCCCAAAATCGATACTCTACTTTTTCATTTATGCGCACGAATTGGTTACCAAATATCACTGCAAGTTATAAACAAATAAATGAAAGTATATTTTTTAGTGAGTTTTTATGCTTTGGGTCCTTTGGGGTCTGGGATTTTTCCCAAAACAGGTGTTCTGATTTTCTTTAATATTACCTTATTTTTTACCCTAAAGAAATACGTTATACAGATCCGTAATCTACGACCCAAAATTAAATTTAGATGTCTCGGTGTTATTTTTTTGTGTGTCATTTTATACATTTTATATACAAAGCATGTATATTTGTGTATTCTTTAAATTTAACATATTTTATAAAATGTTGTATATGTACATGTTTGTTTATGCATAACGAGTATTACATCTTATTTAAAATATTTAAATTTCTTATTACATACGTGTTAAGTATAACTTTTAATTTATCTAATCAAGTATTCGCTTTACACACTAACCATCCGGTTAAATTTATTCACTGGCATCCCAGTCTGTATTTGATTTATCATTACTTTGCTTATGCATAACTAACTTAGGTAAGTATGTACATACACACACCTGTTCATATGTATTTACATACATATGTATATAAAAATGTACGCGTATACTTTGTAATTAGCCGCGCCAAGTTTTATAAATTTCGCCACTTGAACTATGCACTGTACTTGGAGATGGGCCTTTGCCCATACATTCAGCATTACAACCGGGCGAGTCACAGGCAAATCGCGCACAACTGCAATCACCTCCGCTGCCGTTTGTTCAACTATGTATGTGTGTAGCCGTTCAACCGTCCTTACTCCAACATTACTAGGTTGTAACCGCGTTCGCCCTATTGCTGATTAACTAGTTTATCACCGCGCAGTCGACCATGCTTTGAGAGCAACATCACAGTACAAAACAGTTTGTTGAGTCAGCAATGGCTGCTGACGCTGGTGGAACTGTTGGTGGTGATGCTGTTGAGTAACATCCTCGGCTGTATCATCTTGTATTCGGTGTTCGCTTGAGAGCGCAAGTATACTGTCAACAGTGGTGTCATTGGTGCAGTGCGACAAGGCCATGGCAAGCAATGTGGCAACTCTATGACCGAACGTTTGATATGGCTGTTGCACATGCTGCTGTGGCTGTTGCTGTGGTTGTCGCTGTAACTGCGGCTGTGGTTGCGTGCTGCTGGGTGGGTATATTTTACAATTGCTTTGGTTGTTGCAAGCTGGCATCCCATGGAGGATGTTTTTACTTTGCTCGTAAATCTTATGTTCGCTTACGTTGCCTGTATTGTTGCAACAAAATGTTAATATTTGTAATAAAACGAATGCACCGACTATCGCGCTGATTAGTTTGGTTGGCTGGGCGGCAGCGCTGTGTCGCGATGTGGGTGCAGAATTCGTTTGCATCGCTTCTGGTCGCTCACCTGTAAATCGAAAGATAAAACAACAATTAGTCTGCTGCTACTTGGGTGAAAACACTTGTTAATGCAATGAAGAAAGTCAATAGTGGTTGCTTTTATTTGCTTACGATACTGATCTACGATTAGTTTTCTGATTGGTTAAGCTCCTAATACCGTTTGAAGTGCACCCATTATTTCTATATTCCCAGCATACGTTTTCAAAAAAGGGAAACAACTGCACAAATTTACGAAAAGTGTGCCTCGGATAAGACCCCCTTCTATTGGTGACGACCGCTGAAAACGTATAAAGGACTACGGTTTGAGGGTATACACATGGAAAATCTGAATCCTTAATGGGGGAGGTGTGTCTGCCCGGCTAGTTGATGTTCTGAGAACGAGAAATGCTGGCATAACCACCATCCAAGTAATTCGATGGACGGGGCGTGGAGCCTTGCGACGCCTACTACAGTTGCCACGTCAAGTAGCCTTAATTGGGTGCTGGATTTGTGGTAGCAGAGACTTCGTCGCTGAATACTGTTGTTCACACCGTCTGCGAACATCTAGCCGCAATCCAAAATCAAAACGGGATTCTTCAACATCTCGCTCATCTGCGTCCACACCCGACAGAAGAAAAGTACGAGGAGTCCAAGGATCTCTTCTAGGAGCGTACATTCGATCGCTGCCCCGTCACGATATCACGTGAAACGACCGATAACGGACTAAGGCTGAATGACTTCGCCGGGGCCCGTAAGATGGTAGCATACAGCATTAGGTTCATGCATAAAAAAGTCCATCAAGCTACATGGCTATCTCCAGATCGAAAAACGAGAAACAAAATCGATCATATTGTGGTGAAGGAATGCACGCATACCGTGTTTTAGGCGTGTGTACCCTCCGAGGCCAACCATCGACGCTGGTTACTATCTAGTTGCAGAAAGGATGCGTCCAACAATGCAAGGAAATCTCAACGTCTAACAGCTGAAATAACAACAGATGGGTAATTTATTCTCCCCTCGACCATCACACCTGCCTTCTGAGCGCACAAATGTAATATGCGCGAGCAGTGGAACCGCTCATCAAGTGCCGCCGCCGAAGAAGTAGTAGGATACCAACGAGCCCGAGAAAAACACTGGTCTTTGAGATCGTTATAGGGAACTGAAGAGCGAAACGAGACGTATTTGCCGCAACAAGGAGAGAGATGCCGAAATGCGTGAGTGCGAAGAACGAAGAGAAATATGCCGGCCGGCAGTAAAAACGCCCGAAAATTTATGATAGAATTAGGCGGCTTACGTAAGATTTCAAACCTACGCTGAACTCCTGCAGGAACAGCCATGCCCAGGCGACAGCTGGGCCACAAAAGCGACTGCTTCCTTGAACAGCGTCGGCGTAGGACGCAAGCTCCATCCTACCTTGCTGGCAGCCGGCATCTCGAAGGACTGGGAAAGGTATGGGTGCTGTTGTATTATCCCTTTTTAGATTCGTTAAGTTTGTCGAAGTACCCCTATACATCATTGCCAGCGTGAGGTTCTATTTGTCCGCCTCGTTGAAGATCCGCAATGCCAGGGTATTGGTTTGGGTTGGCCGAGGTTCTGTGAACTGGAATTCACTCGAGGATGCCAATTCCCACAGTTTAGAGGTGTGAATGTTTTCAAGCCCGTTAATATTCCCAACTTTACGCTTTTTACTTGCGGCGAAACTACCTGGGGCTCAGTTTAATTTGGTTATCTGCTGGATCAGCAGCTAATTTGTAGCAACCTAGCCGAGATGGGGATGGATTTTCAGTGCAGTTCGTTTTGCGCGCTCCCGGATGCAGCAACCTTTTTGCGAGCTTTGGAGCAGCTGGGGCCAGATTCAGGTCAATTGCCTCTGCTGCTTAAAAGTCGATGTGCTTTGCGTGGAGGACTTTGTGCCTCCTTCCTTACTCTGAATTGGAGTAATGCCATAGCCGGTTATAGCAAAACGAACCCTCCACATATTTAGCGCTTCCCTCGAAGAGTTTGGTCATACCTACATATATATCCTGAGGAAGGTTTACCCACAGGGGGCTCAGCCATATCCTTCGAAGGTGAAAGTGACCTAAGAGGAGATGTGTAGGATCATTTGGAGGATTTGTAGGATCATTCAGTGCCGTCAACTTAATTTTATTGCCATTTATAACGGCAGAACTTATATCACTGCAGGGATCCGTGGCTATTTTAAAGCTGTTAATCATCCTGGATCGTTGGTAAGCTACTCAGAAGAGACATTTCGGTAACCGAAAAGAAAGGAAGGAGAAAGAACGGAGTATGGCAGAGTTATATGGCGCTGCAAGTCCTCGGTTACTCTTGGAGCCGAACAGATATCCGGGAGGCTCCATAAGAATAGAAAAGCCCCTGACTGGAATCCATCCAATGGGCGCAGAAAAACGTATGATACCCTGTTTAAACCCCATTATTGACTGTGATTATACCATAAAATACCTCTGAGCTGTAGAATTTTGAAGAAAAATTTAAGTTTACGTGTATTTTCATGGAATTTTTCTTGGGTGTTTCCCACCAAATTTTGAGGTGGGAGTGAATAAGAATTGTCGCCAAAAAAAGTACTATAATGTAGATGTTTCTCGAGTCCGTTAATTTGTTGCAAACAACCCTAATGTGAACTAAGGTATAACAACCCTATGCACAAGTGTTAACGTTACTTCAAGAACTAGTTTATTACTCGTTACTTAGCGTTACTTCATAAACTAGGTTATTGCATCAGCCAGCAGAGGAATCGGATTGTGATTCTGTAACACAATTTGGAGTCCTAATGCACTCACCTTGTAGCACGTGAACGCGTATACTCGCTATTTCTGTGTTCGATGGGTAGCAGGAATATTTGCCCGAATCAAGTAGATCAGCATCGCTGATGAGTAATATTGATTTGGTTTCTTCGGATTTAATCATTTTGAATTTCAAACGACCACCCGAAGTTTCCTCTGAAAGTACCTGTGGATGAGAAAGCAGAAAAAGGTATTAAATATTGGTTAGTCGAAAAAGTTTCAGCAAGTTTTTCTAATAGATGACGCTATATGCAGATATTAATGCATTAATAAAAAAATACAACCCGATAAAAGCTAGAAACCAAAAGTTCATTTGACAAAAATTCCATTAAAAATGGTGTACAAATCCGCGGCGAATTTTTCAACTACCAAATATTGCTTGAAATAAGATTTATGGAAAAAATGTGCATTTTCATTTTTAGCGATTGAGTTAAAGCTCTTCAATCCTTCTGCGACTTTCTCTCTCGCACTCCTTCTGCTGATATCCTTGGCACAGCTAGACCACTGGGTGTATTTTAAACTAAAACCACAGTGCATAATTATTGAAGTATAAAATAGTTTTTTCTCACGGTAGACACAGAGCGTTAAATACCCGTAAAATTTTATTACCACCACCACCACCAGGCGGGCCATTTTTTTTTTGGGAAAATGCGTGGCTAATATAGTAATCAAATCTAACTGTGAATAAATTTTTAGAAATATCTCATCTACTGCGCCCCCCCCCTATTGGAATAATTACTTCTATTCATAAGGGTCAAACGTGTTCTGAATTTTGATCAAATTGGACTGTAAATGCAGTTTTTAGAAATATCTCGACTCCTGCGACACATATCGGAATATTTGTTATAAATAAGTCTCCATTCAGAAGGGTGATATATGCCCTGACTATAAATCAAATCGGACGGTAAATACGGGTTTTAGAGATTTCTCCACTCCACCGCTACCAGCTACGAATTTGAAGTCAATCGATTCAGTAGGTTTTGAGCCTACAAAAGACATACCAACAGACACACATAACCTTTTTATATATAAGGTTGTATTTGTGCTTGAAAATTACTTGTAATACACTAGTCGTTGATATTACAAAAGTAAGTTGAAAAAATTGGTACATTTTTTATGAATATATGCCAGCTGTACAATTGTATCAAGGATATCAACGAGGGTATAGATGTACCTTAGCCCCTCCCACCGACATATGAGTGATGCAAACACATAAAAAATTCTATTACTTGATTCGTAAATAAAGACAAGAAGTAAGTTTTAGCTTTTTAGATGCGTCAATAATATTAAAAAATACAGCTGTACCAATGATACTACACAAGGGTTAATTTGTCTTTAGCTGTTTCGCTTTTTATGCTTCTATAAAACTTTATGCAGCTTATGCGTGCTTCAATTTCATTTATTTATTTAGGTACTTTTTTATAATCGTTTATAGATTATGTCTTTGTGCGCTCAATTGTGCAATTGTGCGAAACCCGGTTTTCACATATACATAAATTCATCCTTACATTTCCCCTCGTAAAAGTATTATCAATGCCCTGTGACAGCACAAAAACCATCTGAATCAACACTACTTTCACCACGTTCGCGGTTTTGCTGCATTTTTCGCTGCTGATATCCTCAAGCTGCTACTTTAACGTTCACAGCTTACCCATTTATGCGCGAACTTTTTTTATTAAAATTTTTTTGTTGGTTTTAATTTTTTATATACTCATTTTTATAATCAGTAATTTCTTTTGTTATTTTTCAATTCCCGCCTTTCACTCCTGCAAGTCTACAAATGCGATATGATCAGCTTGTAAAGCAGATTTCCTTGATCCAATCGCCTTCGTCTTCTTCTCCCTCTATACATATGTATGTATGTATGTATGTATGTATGGCCTTCTTTCGTTGCATGGCTTCAGGTTTTTCATTGCATGTGGCAGTTGCAAGTGGCATGCTCGTTAAATCTGAGCAGCACTGCAAGCGTTCAACATTCATGCCATGAGCATGAAGGCGTTGCTGCTTATCAATTGCCACGCTGCCAGTAATACAATTTTCAACGCGATTCACCGCCAACACTACGGCAACGATTTCGCTTTAAACTATTTGAAAACGGAAGAGGCCATTAGTATGTGTGCATGTACATATGTATACATACGTATAGTATTTTGTAAGTAAATGCACATCCTTTGCGACAGACTTGTATTTATAACACTTCAGCACTGCAAAGCAAGTGCATACATATATTGTATGTTCTTTTACTCTTGGGCGGTTAATAACTGAACTGTGTGGGTGTGTGTGTGGGTGACATATGAGAAAAATTACTGCGATAAAAGTTTTTAAAACTGGTTACTTGCTTGTTTTCACGCAGTTCTACAGGCGCTACAAAGCAGTTCCTGGTTTGCTGATTTGGCTGGCTGTTGGCATTGCGGTACTTCAACTCGATAATTTATTGATGAAATTTTTTTGGTAGCGTGCCAACATGAAAACTTGATTTTGGCGTGTACGAGTAGGTACACAATTTTTGGCAAACATTTTTTTGTCGATAATGAAACTCCTTCAACTAAAATGCCTTAAGTTAATACTTGTGTATTCTTACTTGTTAAAGTTTGAACAGGAAAAAGACGGCGAACTACTATTTGTGGTTTGTATTGAGTTAAGTAACAGCGCAATGAGCTTAATGGTACACCACAATGCTTATAGCAATTCTTGTTTTCGGTTTATGGCCTCTGGCCGACTTAGGTACATACATACATGCGTTACGAAACTCATGTAGCAAATAATATAGAGCTTTATATCATGGTACAAAAGGCGGACTCTCTTGCCTGGAGCTTATTATTAAGAATACATAAAAAATAAATAACACTATAAATGGACGCGAATACTCCAACCCTATAAGTATTCAACGCAGTACTTATTTGTGTAACAGAAAAAGAGCAAGGCCTTCTCTGTGATGGCAGGAACAGTTGGAAAAGGACTTCCAGTTGGTTGGATCAGGAGAGAAACGGCTGGCGTGCTTTATTGGAATCGCTGAAAATCGCTTAGGCAAAGAATACAGCGTTTCAGTATATTCCGCCAAAGTTTGTCAAATCGCTCTCTGTGTGGCCCCATTATATTTTTTTGCCGTAGGCGAATAGAGCGTCACACAAGAAGAAGAAGAGGAGGAAGAAGAAGAAAAAATACTAAAAAACCTCGACATCTATTTATCCATTGCTATATGTGTAAAAGCAACTGATATCAAGCAACTGGAGACAGACTTGCCAGACAGAGAGAATGCGATTTAGGTAGCCTCTAGCATTAAGTGTTTTCCATGAATGTACTCTACGAGAACATTCCAATTTTATTCGTTTGTGTCGGAGTAAGGTAATATCCCGTAAGGACCTATATATTGATATATATATTGAATCAGATACACGTTTTTTTTAATAGTAGTTTACTCAGGGAAATGGGTTTATATGGGTACGTCTAACTCTTCTTCTGTTGAATTGGAAGTTTTGATTAGTGGGCCATTGCTCACGAAAACTCGACGGGAAACATCGGTAATACCGAACCCAACATAATGCTGTTATTTTGATCGCGATACCTCGGATCCGACACCGGTCGCTATTGCTCCGCTGCGACGCAACAGGCAACGCGTACAGAACCCGGCGCAAACCCATCAGTAACAGCCTCTAGTTGGACGGGGATATGTGTCAGTCATCAGTAAGAGGTCTTTCTTAGTCATCTTGTTGGAAGTTTTACAAATCAACGATGCCGACTTTGAGAGATTAGTCGAAGGCTTATATCTCTTAGTTCTTTCGATGAGAGAGCTTTTTGACCGACCGCTGTACCTTATGCTGTGCACCTGACTAGCTTTTTGCCCATTACAGAATCGACATCGTTGGGTACAATATTCTTGAAAGCATTGGAGCAGAGCGGAAGGGGTTACACATAAGCTGGCTTTGAAATTGACCGACCGTTTGTGATCAAATTGTCAAAAGTACTCTTGTGGTTTTATTTACATAAGGCGTGGTATTGATGAGGCGTTGGCTAATATACCAGGTGCAAATCGCATCAGTTTGGATAAGGCTTGTCCGCCTCCTTTGCTCTTTTCATTTTGCAGAAGTCAAGGAGTGATTTGAGTAGACTTTTAAACCCGCACCTCAAAAAAGTGCTAATATGGCCTAAGGACTTTTTTCGAAAAGGGATTCAGTCATTTCCTTGGTAATAAGGAGCTTTTATACATTCCCTCTTTTACGGTTTTCTTTTTCTTTTTTATTTTCTTTTTATTTTTGTTTCTCTTTTTCTCCCTCTCCCTCTTTCTCCCATCCTCTGGCTCTCTCTCTTGCCTGAAGCGGGAGATAATGTGAAAATCACAGTTCTCTGAACCTTATGACAGCTTGTGCTTATCAGGAGGGGAAATCTTGTGATACGGTTCTGTTAAATCTGTTTCCCAAAATTAGAAATGTTATCTAATATTGCTGGGAACAGAAATCTAGATATTTATGTATCTTCAATACTACAGTGCGTCACCATTGCCTTTGCTGAAGTGGCTGAGTGGTAAGATAACCCCAATACTAATCCCGAGCGTATATATTGCACAATTTTTATTAATGGCTGCAAAACTGCCTCCCGGTCGGGATCCGGAGTCCATATCGATATTTACACCCCTCTTGAGGAATATGACTCGTAGCCCGTGGTATTTTCAATCGTCAAGGCCATCGAATACATACGTGGTGGAAAGTTGGTGGAGAGCCAGCAGTTAATGTTTCTATAGTGACAGCCAAGCTGCACCCATGACATTGACCGGCTCTCTAACTACATTCATTAGATAAAAAGGTCAAGTCTCGACTAAACTATTATGGAAAACATAACGAACTTACTCCATAATATATACCTGATAATGAGGCATCTGATCATTTGGCCACAGAGGGCCCAGGCCGGTTAGTCATCGGACCGCAACTGCACCTGCGGTGAACTCCCACTTTCGGCCACCTCAGAAACTGGGTAAATATTCAGCTTAACAATGACCTGTTGGCTTCAGGTTGCCAAACGTAAGTTTCCCTCAATCTGAGAAAGTCCAGCTGGGTAGGTATGTATTTGGTTTCACTGAGTAGACAACGCACTGTGTAAGGCATACATGACAACCCCAAACGGTGGAACAATTTTAGTGCTTCTACCCCACCTTTGCAAGGATTAATATGAGGCTTTTGAACGTTAAACAATCTATGTCCATTTATTCGTAAATAGTGAGGATTTTAAAGATATTGGAGGGAAAACGAGCACGTTATTTCCGACAAAATAAAAAAAAACCGATGTTCGTAAAGATTAGTAAAAGAACCTTTTTGTTCTGGACCTATAGCGTTTGCCGAAAATAGAGTCACTTCCTGAGAGATGAATACCCATTCCGTGACAATTATATGTACAGGTACTTTAGGGCGCTGATATTCCACCTCTAAATAAGAATTATGTGGTATAAATTTCAGTCATAAATAAACTCACCTTCACGATGTAAATCAATATAAAGTTTGACAGCAGAACAAAAAATCCCCGTTTACAATATGCCAGTAGCATACCACTCCACGCCAGTGCGACTGGAATAGTGTAGACTACTAATCCATTGGAATATATTTACAAAAATATATAGGAAAACAGACACAAAATTAAATACAGCCCGATTCCCTTGAATAGGTACACATATTTTCCTCAAGATCCAAGCTTATATCTGGACTTGTGGGCATCAGAGAAGTTTACTTTTAATCTCGTTTTAAAGAATGGTTAATATTGAAGAAAAGTGATGAAAATTACGAAAAAACCTCGATTACTTTGAATTTTACTCTCCTAAAAATAATGCTTATTATTTTGATTCACTTGAATATGTATAAGGATGAGTAGCCTCCTTATGTGTATAGCAAAGTTATTATAATTGCACTTAAAATATTTTTAAGAATTTAAAGGATAATCAGACCTATAACATAGCAAGAATGGGCGAAGTAGGGGCACTTTCAACTGCAAAAATGTATAAGTGGAGGGCTTCATAGATCCAGGACTTTGCAGGTGATCTGTTGGAAATAAAACTGAAGGAAATGTTTTTGATAGCTGAAGCCGGCGTATTGTCGAGATAGTGGACCAAAATTAAAGAAAACCGTAGTTGTTGATGACATCACAATGGAACTACGGATTACTCTATACACTTGTGCTCAGAAAATGTAAATAAAAGGCATCAAATTTGCTATAGTAAATACTAAAAAATAATTGTTTTCTCCGGCGAAAAGTTAAATTTTGATGGCTACAACGGGTTTAATAATAACTGATACAATTTGTGAAAGGATGAACGTTGTTTGTTTCCCCTGCGTGATCAAGAAGAGCGTATCGCGGTTTGACCGTTCTGGACAACAGTTAAGATAATATTTCGAGTTTCCAAAATTACGAATAATTCATGAAAAAAAAGTATTAAAGACATTTTTTTAATATTTATCGCATATTTTCGCACCTTGTTCTCGATTATGCTAGCAAAGTTACGCACCGATTCGCCCTACAGCCAAAAGAAGCAAAGTCATAATCTTTTCAAAGTTTGTCCTTTTCACAGGACCTAAGCTTAATGGAAAATATTTAGAACTGGATCTTTTGCAAAGTTAGCGTGTCAGACAATGCATGTGATGATTGGCAGTTGTTCCTTCCGGCGATTAAAGTAGTAAGCAGCGAGATGTCCTTGATTCTTCAAAGCGCCTGTAGAAATGTCTACCGGATAGGGGTTTTTCTATACATTGGAATTAAGGATGTAGTATCCAATGATTTTGTTGGTTCAATCTAGTCCTTTCCTTGTGTCAAAGCCTAATTAAGTACCTATTCAAATGAATCAAAATAATAAGCAGAAATTTCGTGTAGTTTGATAAAACGTGGAATAAAATCCGAAGTAATAGAGGCATTTTCTCCATTTTCACCACTTTTCTTTGAAATTGATCATTCTTCAATACGAATTCAAAAAAAACTTCTCCGATGCCCAAGAATCAAGATATAAGCTCAGATCTGAGGAAAAAGTGTGCACCTATTTACGTGAAGCGGAATGTAAATAAATTTTCAAAAATAATATACGTATGAATGTATGTATCTATTTTTATATACATATCTATGTATGTACATACGTATGTAGATTTAATAAAAAAAAAAAAACCATTGTAGCAAAATACATGACTAAAGGTTTTCTCATGTTTTACTGTTTTATCATCCTCAACCCAAAATTTTTACAATTCTAACGATGTACTTTTAAAATATGTATTTTCACTGTGTTTATCTTCCATTCATGAAAAGTATGTATATCTTTCATTTCAATGGTTTCTGCTTGACTGGAATAATGTAGAGAGTCGTCATTCCAGTCCAGCGCTGGCCTGGCTCATTGGTGTGGCGTGCTATTGGCATAATGTAAACGGAGCATAACTCCTCGAACAAGAACAAACATTTTTTTTAAGAACAAACCTTATTGAATAACATTTCTTGCTTATCTAAGACACATTTGTATCTACAACGTTCCTGATAAATTTTCTTTAATAAATGGTAAAGACATGAGTGCTTATGTAAGAGTACACATATACCAGCTTACAGTAGTTATTTACCTTATCTTGATGATACCAAAAAATGTGTGTCGGTGGTTCAGGGCTGAATTTTATTACACATGTCAGATTAATTGTACTTCCTCTGTCCACATACAAATCAGGTCCACCCAATATGCTGGCCGTTGGTACTGTTGCATTAGAATGGAGGGAAATTCGCAGGTTTATCGTTCAAAGAAGCAAAGAAAGAAAAGGAAAGCAAAGGAAAGAACAAATTATTACATGAATTTACTATATACGCCTACATAGCTATGTACGTACATACAGTTACTCACAAAATTCAGTATCCGTGTACTTTTTTTAAATGTTCACAATGATTTACATGTAATTAGTTTTTTTTTTAATTTTTATCTATTAAAATTTGAACTGTTAAAATTTGCATTGAATTTTGAATCTTTTTTTGTGCCGATACTACGCGTTTACTTCCATATATAAAAAGTGAAAAATTTAAGAGTTTTAAATTTTGCAGAATTCTTTTAAAAAAGTTAGGATTTGAATTGCGAATTGCGATGTCCAAAAAAAGCTAATGCAAATGTAATGTTGTCATTCATATTCTGTTCGATTTTTATCTTAGGGATGAAAATAATTCTACTCAAAAAATTGTTCCTCCCAAAAACTATTAATTACCCAAAAATATTTTTTTCATTTATCATTTTGGTTAAATAATTTTTTTTAATATAAATACATTTTATTCTTATATATTTTTGCTCAAATCCTTACAACTCTTTTTTTCTAAATTTCATTATGTATGTACATACACATACATACATACATAATAAACCGAAGTAAAATTGAAATTCATATTTTTTCTCAAAACAAATTTATCGTTTCCAAGATAAAGATAATTTCAAATATTGTTTTCAAAAAAGTTAAACTTTTTTAATGTCTGGTAGTTTTTTTAAATTTTTGTGAGTTATTTTTTTTTTCAAAGAAATCGTTTTCTTATGAGTGTAGGACTTTTTGGGAAATATGTTTCCCTTAGCCCTGAATAGGTTAAATTTATATGACATTTGTTAAAATAAATAAACATAAAGTCTGAATTTTGGATTTATATGGGGTTTGTTGAAATGAGTATAAGCCATATTTAAATTAAAAATTAAAAACAAAAATTTTTTTACATGCATAAAAAGCATTGTGAATATAAAAAAAAAGATCATCGTATACTCAATTTTGTGTGTAACTGTACATACAAATGCCAGAACAGATGTTGGTACTAAAACGTTCAAAGGCAGTAAATATTATATCCGGCTGTATGCCTCAGCAGTACACTAAATAAAATTTATGTTTGCACATCTAAAGCTACCAGTATTTATGTAAGTTAGTTAGTAGGTAAACCTAAGCACATACGTGTACTATATTAAGCCAGATGCATGAACTGGACACACCAAAGCCACTTGTAGTACGTTAGTGAATTTAGTAGAGCAGTAAAAACAAGCAATGTTAAAGGCATGGGCAAAACAATAACAAGGACACTATGTACATTTCAATTATAGTAAATAAATGTACTACATATCAGTATATGTGTACATACATATGTACGTGCAATTTTGTATTTTTTTGAATGGCATAAAGCGAGCTTATGCACTGCCATTTTAATGAAGATATGTGTCTGCTTCCTTTATATGTTTAAATAAATGTATGCGTATATTAAACATAATTATGTACATAAATATGCAAGTAAATGTTTGGTTTAAGAAAAAGAATATAGTGTAAGTGATTTTATTGTCTAAATTAAAAAGGAATGTGGATTATAATTCTCAGAAGCTTGCTCTGGTTTTTTGGCTTAATTGAATGCAGCGATTATTATAGATACCTGTATATTATTTAATCGTTTCTAATCGGAAATAAAATCTGAAAATACATAAACATATTCAGTGAAATGCTGCTAAGCATGCTTTTTATCCCAATTATTATCATAGTCAACATCACCACACTAACTAAGGACTATTCGGCTGACCTTAATACACTTATCACTAGTTATATTTAGTAAGCGTTAAGCATTCGTAACTCCGACAAAATGTTTTGACGTAGAATACGTCTTACATTTCGATATGGAGGCTATGCTCAAATCATGAAGTTGTAATTTTTAGAGCTTTACGAAAACGCTTATTTCACGAGAACTAACCAAGCGATTTGAAAGAAAAGAGTGGCATTTCGAAGACATAATTCCAAACCTATGAACAGATTCATCTTTGTAAGTAACCAATTCGATTTCTGTCGTAGAAACAACGGTAAATATTGGCTTATTTTGGGGTAAACTTTGAGCCTTTAAAGAGCTCTAGCAATTTACGATTTGCAGGTTAAACTTTCGTTTTTGGGATATAGGTTCTTTGGAGCAATAGAAATATTATCGTGCACAAATTTTATATTAAGTTCAACAAATATTAAGCATTTTAATGTAAAAAATTGTGGAAAAAATTTGCATTTTTTTTATTTCCAGAATGCTTGAAAACCGTTCGAATGATTTTCTTTTTGTTTTCTTTAATCAAAAACTCAAGATTCTTCCTTTCATTTGGTATATGGGAAGTATTTTTTGATATCCTCTAAGTACGTTGATTTGATTAAAATATATGGGCATAAATAATTTTCCATACAAAATCACTTCGTCATCAATTTGAAAACACGTGCATGCGGTTAAAGTGAGAGAAGGAGACAAAAAGTATGTGTGTGTAGGTATTTCGAATTTTGAATAACAGATGGCGCAATATTTATAAAAGACAAAGCTGAAGGAGAAAATGTAGATGAAGAATATGATAAACATAAAAGCAAAAACAGAGATAAATACAAAGAAAAATATGAGGATGAGGATATCGGTAAAAGTAAAGACGAAGATAGAGGAAGAAAGATTAAAATAAAGGTAATTATAGAGAAAAGTATATAGACAGAAACTCAATCAGGAGACTATTTCGGGATTTTGGAGATTTTCGGAGTTCTCGGGACTTATCGATATAATAATCGATATTTTATCGATTTTGTTATCGATCTTTTTTATCGATTTTGTTATCGAAATTTTTATCGATATTGTTATTGATTTTGCTATCGATATTTTCGGAACTTATCGATATAATAAACGACATTTTTTATTGATTTTGTTATCGATATTTTAGTCGAATTTGTTATCGATTTTTTTTATAGATTTTCGTATCGATATTTTTATCGATTTTGTTATATTTTTTGTTATCTATTTTGTTATCGATTTTGCTATTGATTTTATTATCGGTTTTGTTATCGATATTTTTATCGATTTTTCTGTCGATACTTTTTTCTTAGTGTGTGCTTTTGTTTTTGAATTGGATGTGCACTTAACCACATCACGTATTCTACGTTTAAATTTATTGGCTGTGTCTCCGATACAGCCTGCAGACCAAGACGAAGGCGCTGGGCTGTACCTTTTTTAAACTGATATAGTATATGTAATAAGCTCTTGTTAGACACTAAGACTCCCTTAAAACCATTTCAACCGTTATGTTACATAAAAAAAATTTACGACTACAGAACGCTTACGCTTGTGAATACGCTAATAGGAAACTGTGGGGTTATTTTACTGGCGAAATAATACACGTTTGAAAGACAACATAAAGGGAGAACAAATTTATTTCTTACAATAATTCCTGCATCTTCGGTTTCCAAAAATGTTACTAAAGGCCGGTTACTCAATGTCTGTAATATAACAAGGAGTGGTAAATGTCGTTAACGTTGTGTTGTGTTGTGTTGTGTTGTGTTGTGTTGTGTTGTGTTGTGTTGTGTTGTGTTGTGTTGTGTTGTGTTGTGTTGTGTTGTGTTGT